AGAAGCTCTTCTTAAAGAATCCCCCCACACACTCACCTACTAAGATTCATTCCCTCTGAGCTCCAGCATCGGATAGCAGCTTGAAAGTCACTAGGGTGTACAGGGAGAAACAGAAGTGTCTGGCATCAAGGCAAGCAGAGGTCATTGCCCCCTTGCTAAACCTCCCCCCCACCACTACCACTGAGCTGGTGCCATCTCTGAGACTCCATCAACCTGGCTAACACTATTTGACCTATCTTGGAGATCCCCAAGGTTCTGCTCTACATGATTTAAGGGCCCACCCAAGCTGCTTTTACATATGAATGGCTGGTCTTGGGTTCTAAATCCTATTAAACAAGCAATGGCTGGCTTCAGTGAGCCCTAGCAGCAGCCAGCCTAGATTCACAGCTTGGCTTCACCTGGGAATCTCCAAGTCTAGCACAAGTAGCAGCCACTACAGATTGCTTTACAGCTCAGAAATGTACCCCAGGAAAAATACAGGTGGGGGTTGACCTTGCCCTGCACTACCAGTGAAACCCCAGAGCCAGCCCACCCAGGGGACAGCTACAGATGACACGGGAGCATCACCACCTTGCCCCTGCACAGCTGATCCTCCACGGAACGTGGAGGTTGGTGGTCAGTGGTCACAGCCAGTCCTTGCAGCTGACTGGCCTGGGTAAATCCCTCCCATTGATATGCCAACAGCAACCAAGGCTCAACTACAAGAGGAGAGTATACTCAGCACACACAAGGGGTACACCTTGAGTAACCAGCTTGGTGGATAGGCGAGGCTGTGACACTAGACCCTACTACATTAGGCCACACTACCAACATATGGAGTCAAACAGCTCTACCTAATATATAGAAACAAACACAGGGAGGCTGCTAAAACAAGGAGACGAAGAAACATGGCCCAAATGAAAGAACAGATCAAAACTCCAGAAAAAGAGCTACACAAAATGGAGATAAGCAATTTATCAGATGCAGAGTTCAGAACACTGGTTAAAAAAGACACAGTCAGAAACGAAGGATTCAGGAATTGAAACCAAGAACAATTTACAGGGAAAAAAAAACAGTAGAGTGGATGAAACCAAGTATCAAGTCAATTATTTGGAACGTGAGGAAGCAAAAAACACCATGAAAAACAAGAAGAAAAAAATAATCCAAAAAAATGAAGATAGTATAAACAGCCTCTGGCACACCTTTAAGAGGTCCAACATTTGCATCATAGGGGTGCCAGAAGATGACAAAGGGCAAGAAATTGGAAATCTGTTTGAAAAAATAATGAAAGAAAACTGCCCTAATTTGGTGAAGGAAATACAAGTCCAAGAAGCAGAGAGAGTCCTAATTATGATGGATGCAAAGAGGTCTACTCCAAGACACATCATAATTAAAAGACCAAAGGTGAAAGATACAGAGAAACTCTTAAAAGTAGCGAGAAGTTACCAGATGGGTTGCCAGATGGGAGGGGTAAGGGGGAGAATGGGTAAAAGGTGAGGGGATTAAGTACAAATAGTTACAGAACAGCCATGGAAATGTAAAGCTGATAAGCATTACTCATGGATATGAACAATGGTAGGAGGATTGCCTGAGGGAGTGGGGGATGCTGGATAGAGTGTGGCAAACAGGGGTGGGGTGGGAGAATCAGGACAACTGTAATAGCGTAATCAATAAAATATAATAATAATAAAAAAAAATCCTAACTCCCAATGTGATGGTATTAAGAGGGAGGGATGATTAGATCAGGAGAGAAGAGCCCTCATGAATGGGATCTCAGAGGGCTCCCTCACCCCTCCCACCATCTGAGCCCACAGTGAGGGCGTGGCTGTCTAGGAACCAGGAATAGGCCTCACCAGCACCAGATTTGCTGGTGCCTTGATCTTGGACTTGCCATCCTCCAGAATTGTGAGAAATAAATTAGTTCATAAAAAAATAAATATTTGTCATAATTTATGAATTTTTATTTAGCCATTTTAATATTGAAGATGGAAGAAAATAGGCAACATTTTCAGCATATTATGCTTTATTATTTCAAGAAAGGTAAAAATGCAACTGAATGCAAAGAAAGATTTCTGCAGTGTATGGAGAAGGTTCTGTGACTGATTGAGTGTGTCAGAAGTGGTTTGCGAAGTTTTGTGCTGGAGATTTCTTGCTGGACAATGCTCCGCAGTCAGGCAGACCAGTTGAAGTTCATAGCAATCAAATTGAGACATTAATTGAGATTAATGTTCTATCACACGGGAGACAGCTGACATACTCAAACTATGCAAAATAATAAAGTTATTAATGAAAATGAAAAATGTGTCTTTTTTAATGGAAAAAACTAAACAGACTTTTTGGCCAAATCCACAAAGCTAAAGTATTCAAAACAGTGTGCTACTGGCATAGAATAAAATAGAGAGCCCAGAAATAAGCCTTTACCTATATGTCCTGAGTTTTGACAAGCATGCCAAGACTATTCAGTGGAGAAAAGATCATCTTTTCAACAAATGATGCTGAGGAAACTGGCTATCTACATGGAAGAAAATGAAGTTGGACCCTCTCCTTACACCACATGCAAAAATGAACTCTAAATGAATCAAAGACCAAAACGTAAGAGCTAAAACTACAACTATAATACTTAGTAGAAGACATAAGGGAAAAGCTTCATCTTAGATCTGGCAATGATTCTTGGTGATGACATCAAAAGCATAGGCAACAAAAGAAGAAATAAATTGGACTTTTATCAGTAACTCCTGTAGATCAAATAACATAATCATGAGAGTAAGAAGGCAACTCGTATAAGGGAAAATATCTGAAAATTAATATCTGATAAAAGATTAGTATTAATAAGATATAAAGGACTCCTACAGTTGACAATAAAATACATGATCCAACTCAAAAATGGGAACTCATACAACTTACACCTCCCCCCAAAAAACATTCCAGTTAAAAAATGGCAGAGGACCTGAACAGACACTTCTCCAAGAAGGACATAGAGATGACCCACAGACATATGAAAAGATGCTCAACATCACTGGCCATCAGAAAGATGCAAAATAAAACCACACTGAAATATCACCTCGCATCTGTCAGAATGGCTATCAACAATAAATCAACAAACAACAAGTGCTGGCAAGCACGTGAAGAAAAGGGAACTCTTGTACACTGTTGATGAGCTTGTAAATCAGTGCACCCAATGTGAAAAGCAGTATGGAGATTCCCCAAATATTAAAAATAGAGCTGCCATATAATTCAGGAATTCCACTTCTGGGTATTTATCAAAAAAAAAAAAAACAAAAAAAAACAAAAAATCCCAACCCCAAAACACTTAATTTAAAAACATAAATGCACCCCTATATTCACTGCAGCATTATGAAGCAACCTAGATGTCCACTGATAGATGAATGATGAAGATGTGTGTGTGAATAAAATATTATTCAGCTATAAAAAGAATGAAATCTTGCCATTTGTGACACCATGGGTAGACCTAGATGTATTATGCTAAGTGAAGTAAGTCAGAGAAAGACAAATACCATATGATCTCACTTATGTGTAGAATCTAAAAAAGCAAAATAGCCCTGACCACTGTAACTCAGTTTTTTGGAGTGTTGTTCCGTAAAACAAAGGTTGTGAGTTCAATTCCTAGGCAAGTTCCGTTCCTGATCAGGGCACATACAAGAAGGCAACCAACAGATGTTTCTCTCTCTTATCTCCCTCTTCATTCCCCCCTCCTTCCACTCTCCCTCCCCTCTCACTCTCCCTCCTTCCCTTTACTTCCTCTTATTATCTAAAATCAATGGAATCTGTCCCAGTGAATTAAATAAGAAGGTTCTTTAACCCTTGAAAGGTTGTAAAGCAATAAAAATTCCTTAGGCAAGGATAAAAAATAAACAAAAACAAAATAAATGAAAAAACAAAGCAGATTCATAGATACAGAGAACAAGCTGATAAGCTGATAGCTGCCAAAGTGGAGGGAAGGGATGTGAATAAAAATAATAACATTTTTTAAACATTTCCCCCAAATGTATGAAAATGACCAATAAATAAGCAAATGAAAAGATACTCAACATAACTGTCATTAGGAAAATTTAAATCAAAATCACAATGAGATTCAACTTTATACCCACAGACATGATTATTTAAAAAAAAAAGCAAATAACTCTGTTGGAGAGGATATGGAGAAACTGGAACCGTGTACACTGCTGGTGGAACTGTAAAATGTGTAGCCACAGCAGAAAAGTTTGATGTTTCCTCAGAGATTTAAACATAAAATTACCATACATCCTTAAACTATACACTCAAAATGGTTAAAAAGGTTAAGAACTGTTATATATTTTACCATTATAAAATCTGTAAAATAAATGCATGTGCATGACCTATCACTTAAATGTTATAAAGACCAGATGTGAGATAGCATCAACATGGAAAAATAAAGAATATCAACTGATTCACTGATAGTGTACTGAGCCTATGTTTTAGGTACCCTAATGAGATTTTTTTTAAAGGACAGTCAAAAGGAAAAGTACCATTACTAATATATTTTTTGTGCATGCCATAACTTTTATGATTCTGTTTCTTCAAATATAAAATGTGATTATATTGATGATCACATATATCAGAGTTTTTTTAAAAAGTGGTGGACATACTGCATATTTGTTTATAAATGAATACTAGAAAGTATTAGGGCATTATTTGCTCTGTTGCAAATAAACACATAAAAATTATGGAACTAAGTATAAGAAAATGTTTGCATTTTCCCATGTAAGCTGAATTCTACAACACACATTATGCTACTTTAAGAAAGAAGCTTGTTATCTTAACAGTTAGCTTTGGGACCAGAAGACAAATAGATCAAACAATTTAAAGAATGAACAAATTGTTCTTTATTTTGAAGTTGTAATCATCAGCCTGTGGAGACCACCTACTACCTTCCAAACTTATTTAAAATTTAATCATTTCTTCAATCTATATAAAGAAATAAAATAATAAGTTGATGTTAAAACTTCACTTTGATTGAGTCTGTATTTTTAAGTTATTACCTGGAATCAAGAAAAGTAAAAAGTCGATCAAATTGTTTTCCCAGATCCTCTAAAAGACTGTCTGTCTCCTCTTCTGTTTGACTGTGTATGTGTTCGAGGACCTGGGAAGAACACAATAAAAACTTAATTTGGTATAAATTGTACTGTTCAACATAATTTTGAAAATAGAAGGTACTTTTAGATTTTTCAAAACAATGCAGGAGAACATCAGATGATAAAAATGGAGTAAGTCGTGTGGTTCAACTTCAAATCCTGGTATTTGTCACCTTTGTTGGCACTGTATACTGATAAAATGGCAGAAAGGCCTAGAAAATCCACTAAGTATTCTAAGGATCTTTCTTATCCCTTTTTGTTATTACAGGAAACAAGTCATTTTAAAGAGCTGAATTTCTCTCTGGCACCATTCCTTAAATTTAACAAGTTTAATCCAAGTATTTTAAAAAATATTTTTATTTTTTAAAAGATTTTGTGTATTTTTAGAGAAAGAAGAAGGGAGGAAGAAAGAGAGGAAAAGAAACATTGATGTGTGTCAGAATCATCAACAGGCCACCTCTCACAAGCCCCAAACCAGGACCTGGCTCACAACCCAGGCATGTTCCCTGACCAGGAATTAAACCAGTGACCTTCTGGTTTGCGGAACAATGTCCAGCACACTGAGCCACACCAGTCAGGGGCCACATGCTGCATTTTTAAACAAAGAATAATTCCTTTAGACCTGTGATCCCCTTTTTCCTTCCAATTTCTCCCTTTTGGAATGGGAATGTCTATCCTATGCCTGCCTAACCAGTGTATTTTAGAAGAAAATAATTTATTATCTAGTTGCACAGTTTCACTGTTAAAGAGGAATCTGGCCTGAGTCTCAACCCATACTTGATCAGAAGATATTTAAATGAGATAAGATTTTGGACTTAGAGCTGATGCTGGAACAAATTAAAACTAAATTGGAATTGGGGTGAAGGTATTTTGTATGTGAGAACAATGAGTATGAGAAGGCAGAGCATAGGGCAAGACTGTTATGGGTTGAATTTTGCCCCCCACTTGAAATTCATACATTGAAGCCTTAACTCCCATATCAGCTATAACATTCTGATTGCCTTGGTTGTAAATTTGCTGTTGCTTTTTCTTTGTCACCAAATAAGTGAGCTTCTCTTTCGGGAGATGCGTAAGGAAGAAAAGAGAGTAAGACTCTTTGGGAAAGGGTATACAGCCAAGTAATGAGCAATGTTAGAAAGATGATCTGCAATGATATGACATAAGAAATCATGGTTCCTTATTAGAGCTTCTACATCAGTGGGCTACTAGCACAATGCTACAAAAACCAATTCTATAACAACCACACCTAAAACAAAAACAAACTAAGCAAACAACTAGAACAGGAACAGAACCACAGAAATGGAGATCAGATGGAGGGATAGTAACAGGGAAGTGGGAGAGGGAGGGAAAAGGTACAGAGAATAAGTAGTATAGATGGTAGGTAGAAAATAGACAGGGGGAGGGTAAGAATAGTATGGGAAATGTAGAAGCCAAAGAACTTGTAAGAATGACACATGGACATGAACTAAAGGCAGGGAATGTGGGTGGGAGGGGGTGTGCAGGGTGAAGAGGAGTGAAGGGGGGAAAATGGGAAAAGTGTAATAGCAAAATCAATAAAATATATTAAAAAAAAATCCTAGCAGGCATGGGAGTTTCCCATTCTTCTGTATGTTTCTCTATCATTACATTATTGTGTTTAATAACTCAGTGCTAAACTCTAACTTCAGTGATAGAATATCCAAATATGCACATTTAAAGAAACCTTGCCCTAATTCATGATAGAATTTGACCATTCAAAATGCTTACTTTTACAGCAATACTTAATTGCTCAAAATTATTGCCTGCTGTCTTTAGTGCTTCATCAATTTCTTCTGCAGTTTTAGTCTCCTAAAAAAGGAAAGAGGGACCATATACAAATACAAAAGTAGATATTTAGATACATTATATTAGTCACAAAAATACCACATTACTATTCAGTTACAAAAGCAACATTAGACCCACTATAGCAATCTGAAAACAAGCAAGAAAAATAACACTGTTAATCCTACTTACCCAGAGATTAAAAACAATTAACCTTTTACGGTTTTGGTTATAGCATTCCAGATATTTTTAGATAACTTTTTGAAAAAATAAGATTATGTTCTGTGACCATTTTCAAACTTAAAACTATTTTGAAAAATGTATCATGGCAGTATGTGTACACATGTAAAAATGAACAGTTTAAGGGAAAAACTTATAATTTGGCTATGTTAAGATTTAAAATTGCAGTAAAAGATAGCAAGATTAAGTGCTCTCTTTCTTTCCCCAGCTCACTAAAGATCTTCGTAACAAAAAGATTTAATATTTCATTTAACAGCATTTGGAGGTTGTTCTTTTTCTAATCTTAAGTTTAAAAAAAAAACACTATTTAAAGTTATCAGGTGCAGTAACAGGTAAAATTCAGTCTTCCAACATCAACAACAACATCATCATCATCATCACCACCATTAATAACAACAAATGCCATCACTGGAAAAATCACACTTAGAATTTAGAGACATGTACTTTATACAAGTTTCATAAAATCTGAATTCAATAATTAGGTTCAAAGGGAAGAAACTACATACAGGTAAATATCAAGAACAGGAACAGAACTGTCTAAGGTAGAATGGGCTACTTTGGAAGAAAAGAGAATTGTTCAAGCATAGTTTAGAATAAAACAAGAGGTTCAAGTAAGAAGTATAAATTTCTCTCCTACCTTTAAGCTTCCAAAAGAATCTATAATTATAGGAAGCTTGAGGGGAGAGGAAAATTAAGCTACCAGAGACACAGTAAAGCTGTCTGGTTTCATCTTACTTCACAAATAACATTTTTCATACCGCCATTACAACTGACGAAGTCAAAAGAGTCCTGTGTGTGGATGGCGAATGTTCTAAACCAATAGTTAGCTTATCAGTCGTCTTTTTCAAGTCCTGAGAAGAATTCTTTATCCTAAAAAATGTCAAGTACATTATTTTAAATACCAGCATTAATATAACAGCTTTAACATTTTATTCTGATTTTTACTCTCTATCAAAAAATAATTCATATGATGACTTGTAGAACACACACGCTGGGTTCTCAATCATCTATGATAAGCAAAGAGAGGAAACCATGACTAAATTATGGATATGGGAGATCCTGTGGAAGTCAGAATCTGAGGGGGTAAAATGAATGAGAGATGAGGAACTGGGTGCATTACAGATGCTTTGCTGTCATTATCAAAACAAAAAAGTTCCAAATGAGATTCCTTGAGGGTATCCTATATTTCTTTTAATTCCCACAAAATTTACTATCATAATAAGTATTTTTAAAAGTTAAAAATCACTCTGGCTGGGTGACTCAGTTGGTTGGAGCATCATGTGATACACCAAAAGGCTGTGGGTTTGATTTGGGCCTGGGTGCATACAAGAGGCAATCAACAGATGTTTCTCTCTCTCTCCTTTCTTCTCTAAAATCAACAAAACATATCCCAGTGAATTAATAAGAAGGTTCTTTAACCCCTGAAAAGTAGCAAAGCAACAAAGAGCAAACTTTACTATTTTTCACTATGATCCATTCCAAAGTCAATCCTAAATGTAAACTTGCTTAAGATAAAAAAAATTCTTCAGAAAAACTATAGCAAATGTCAAAATACTGTATCATGGTTTTTTATCTAACAAACGCTTATTAAATGTTTACTCTGTGTCCAGCACCAGGGATGTAGAAAGCAGTAAAATGTTGTCCATGACCTCAAAGGAGCTTATAGACTTGCAGAGGGAAACATACAGGAGTGGGCAAAAGTAGGTTTATAGTTGTGAGTACACAAAACAGAGTTTGTATATTCCTGTATTGTTATTTATCAATTATTGTAGTAAACCTACTTTTGCCCACACCTGTATAAATAAATAAATGCAGCCCTGGCTGGTGTGGCTCAGTGGACTGGGTGCTGGTCTCTGAACCAAAGGGTCACTGGTTTGATTCCCAGTCAGGGCACATGCCTGGGTTGCAGGCCAGGTCCACAGTAGGGGGCGTGTAAGAGGCAACCACCCATTGATGTTTCTCTCCCACTCTTTCTCCCTCCTTTCCCCTCTGTCTAAAGAAATAAAATAAACAGAAAAAATAAATAGATACAATAAAAATAACAGAGGAGCTCTCCAGTTCGGATATTCTTTTTTAAAAAATCTCTGCATCACTGATTCAAAAAGCATTTATTAATGTGCAAAGTCTTGCAGAGGAATGGAAAAATGAATAAAAGAATCCCAAAGTTATTACTTTTCCTTTTATAAATCACATCTCAATATACTCTTCCCAAAGTCCTCTACTGTACTGTATTCGTGCTCGTCTCAACAGTCAACAGAAAAGTTCTTATTCTTTCTCCACGTCTTATTCTCCCCTACCACACACAGCTTCTGCTAGAATCTTACCCTTAGCTATTCTTGATCTGATATTGTAATCTTGTTTTCCTTTATTTTCTTTCCCCCTTTAAATAAGGACAAACTAGTACTGCTTCCTTAGGAACCAGAGTCACTATTTCATTAACAGTTAAGACAAATTATAAACTTAAAGAGTACTCTATGAACAATGGGTTAAAAACACTGATCTGAGAATGACACTCTATCAGTAATGCTAAAATTACTTGCAGAAATATATTGAACTTTAAATACTAAAATAAGTGCACACTGAACTTACTTTTTAGGCTGCAGTTTGTCCATGAAAGAATATTCTTTAACATATCCATCTAATTGGTAGTCTCCTTGTCTCATATTTACAGTTGTAGCAACCTTCGAACAGAATAAACAAAAACAGAAAGCCATTCAATAAATTCTATTTATCCAGAATTCAAACAACTAGTGTGCTATTCACAGATACATTTGATGATAGACGTCAAGATACTTAAATCCTCATTAAATAAAAAAATGTGCATATATGTTGTTTTTATCCTATTTGGTAAAGAAATCAGTAATTGGCAATTATGAATTAAACAAGAACATTAAATTAACTAAAACACTTCATTATACCACAATTCTAAAGGAAATACTGGGAAAAATACTTTTAAAATTTACTATAAAAATTTTACAATGATACCTTAACGCATGTTTAAAACTCCAAAATACTCAGGAATAAATTTAGTAAGAAAAATATATGGTCTAAGAAAAGAAAATCAAATAAGTTATTGGGGAAAATAAGACAAGGTTCCTGGAGACAATCTCCTAAAATACATCTCCTAAAATACATCTAACATAAATTAACAGAATTCTCAAGTTCATATAGAAAAGATATTATGCAAGAATTACAACAATTTTTAACACAATCATTTGGGAGTGATCTACCCCCCCTCCCCCCCCGATAATAAAGCTACTGTAATGGAAACACTAGGGTACTGGCACAATAGAGGAGAATGAGCCGTGAAACAAATCCACATATACATGGGAACTTAATACAGAATACAATTGACATTTCAATTAAATAGAGGAAGGATTACTCAGTAAATATTCTCGGAAAGTCAGCTAATCATTCTGAGGAATAAAGTTTACACACACCTTACACCATATATGAGTATCGTAAAAAAATCAAGCATATATACCTTTTAAAAAAACATGACATAAGCACTTAAAAACACAGTGGAACCTTGGTTCTCGAACTTAATTTGTTCCAGAAAACTGTTCAAAAAGCAATTTGTTTGAAAGCTGTTATCTTGTTTGTCATCTGAGAGACACATGATTGATCAAACAAGTATCAGCATAAAAGGACTGTCACATTGAGAATGGAGAACCGAAGTTTTTGAGTGGGGACTGAGACATTTTTTTTCTGTGACCTTGGTCAAGAACTGAAATGTTTGAGAACCAAGATGTCTGAGAAACAAGGTGTGCGTGTGTGCGTGCGTGTGTGTGTGTGTGTGAGAGAGAGAGAGAGAGAGAGAGAGAGAGAGAGAGAGAGATGGGAAGGTCTGATTAATCAAAGAAAACCTAGAGCAATGAAGGAGGGGGGAAAAGACTAAATAGGAAAATGTCTCTGAAAGGCTAAAGGTAATAAAAAAATTAAAAACGAAAGATTGGCAGAAAACAGCTAAATACACAGGACAAAGTGTTAGCATCCCTATCACATGAAGTATTTCTACAAGTTAGGAAAAGACAATTCAAAAGGGAAATATGCAAAGCCTCTGAAAGGGTCTGTTGAAGACATCTGAAAAGTCTGCTCAATTTCACTAGTAGTCAGGGAATTACAATTTAAAGCAAGAAGATGCTTTTTGTTTTTTGTTTTTTGCTCATCAAATTGTCAAACATTAAACAAATGACAAATGGAAACATGAATTTGTTTTGGAGCTAGAAATTAGCAGAACTAATGGAATTTTTTTGGTAGGGGTAAGTTTGAGGAATAGTGAAAAATTGTGAAAACCACCTAAATGTTTATAATGAGGAGATTAGTTAAGAATTATAGCACTTATGTACACAGCTTAGTATGTAGCCATTAAAAGTAATGCAGGAGGTTCTCATGAGAATAAGTTAATGTTGCTAAAATAAAGCAGATGACAAAATGTAATGGTCTCCCACTTCAATATACATCTTTGGTGGGGAAGACAATGTTCTGTCAAGGTTTTAAGTGTGAGGAACCAAAGGTAGCCATGTATTGTTAGATAATTAGGGAAAAAGTGTTTTTCAGCCCTTTTGCAGCTTAGTCTGCCCTCCACAGCCACTTTGCTTTCCATCATTATGCTGCTTTCTCTGTGCAAACAAGAGAATCCTTGACCTTCTGGTATTGTGTTTCTTTGTGGGGTTAATGCTTGCCACACTTTATAAAGAAAGGCCAGCAGACTTTCGAAACAGTCACCATGTTTCTAAGAATGCTATTGGCATGAAGACTATCAAGAGATTTGATGATACAGGACATGTCTTCCGAAGATTTTTTAAAAACTATTAATACAAGTGATTTAAAAGATTTCAGTGAAAACTATATAGATTCTTAACTTATAATTAAGTATAATAAAAGCTTTCTTCCTCTTCCTACTCTAGCTTCTCATTCAAGTTTTATTTATGGTAGTGTCTTACTTATTTGTTTTGTTACTTGTGGTCAGATTTAATTAGCATTTCTTCTTTGATTTCTGACTTCAGTGATATGTTTAACAAGACTTCCCCATCTAAGATTAAATTGTCTGTATTTTCTTCCAGTTTACACTCTCAATTTGTATGTTATGAACATTTACAACCCATATGGGATTTTAATATATATTATATATTGATTGGATAACTTATTCTTTGCTCATGCACAATATATTTTTAGACTCATGTCTGAAAGATCAATAAAATGCTGGTATTTCTGGAATGATACCTAAGTATGATCCTATTTGGAACGAAATCTGCCATCTGGCTGTGCAAAATTATAGAATGGTTATTATTATTATTATTTTAAAGATTTTATTTATTTATTTATTTTTAGAGAGGGAAGGGAGGGAGATAGAGAGAGAGAAACATCAATGTGCGGTTGCTTGGGGTCATGGCCTGCAACCCATGCATGTACCCTGACTGGGAATTGAACCTGCGACACTTTGGTTCGCAGCCCGCGCTCAATCCACTGAGCTATGCCAGCCAGGGCCTAGAACGGTTATTATTAAATAACCATTAATATCACCCAACAGCAGAGAAGGGATGTTATTTTAAAAATATACAACTATGAAAGATAAATACTAGTAGATAAATCCATACTACTTACCTACTCTCAGGTATAAGAACAAATGTATACCCTTAACCCTGAATGAAATCATTTTAGGCTTAAGTTTGAAATAAACAGCATCACCTTCAACATGCAAGATAAATTATAAGCTTAACAAGAATATAGCTACTTAACTCTTACTTTATAGAGCACTTACTTTTTAGAGCATATATGTAATAAGTTAAAAGTAATAAACAACATTCCTGAAGTATTTTATAAATTCACACTTTTCACTATTTTAGACTGGATTCTTCCACTCTTATTCCAAATAAATACTAAATATCAGCAAAAATCTCAAATTTAAAAACTTGAATGTGATACTGATTTCATCAATTTCTCAAAGGACTCCTTTAAATAGCAATCAGCTTTGGTGCATCTGGAAAATTTGAATATAGCCCCTTGCTAATAGTACCAGGGAGGGGGAAAGGAGGGAAGGATGGGGCAAATCACATGTCTCCCAGTGACAGAGTCAGAACTAGTCAATATGATATAAAATAGATATATTATAACCTTAAAATCAAAACTAGTATTTGTAAATGACTATGAACATTTATACAGATATTATCCAAAATAATACAGTATAATGATTTAAAACCATCAAACATGAAATCATTTGCCAAAAAGGGCAAAAGTTACTGTTCTAATAAATTTGTCTGTGTTTAAATATTAAAACAGAATGGATATGGGCAGAAAAAGTTCTGACTGCCTGCTCCTTCACTTTCTCTTACTCTTTACCCACCAGAAGACTGAATTGGTCAGGGAGCTTCCACTACAACCACAGGAGCCAGGACCCCCTTGTCTTAACTATGTAGGAGCCACATCTGAGGAACCTACTGTCAAGAAAGGAAAGGGAATAAGAACTTCCCACAATGAAGGCCTTAATTTGTAAGGTATTTAATTTCAAAACAGACATCTGCTAATATGTATATGTTTCTGCTACAATTAAAACTTTCAAATCTGTAAATATGTACCGTATTTTCAGACCATAAGATGCATCTAGGATTTAGAGGAGGAAAATAAGAAAATTTTGAAGCAAAAAATGTGGTAAAATATTTAATAACATAAGTAATATTTCACCAATGTAAATGTAAACAGAACTCAACAGCAGCATTAACAACCATTATTCCTCCCAAATTTGGAGAGGATAAAAAAAAAGAAAAAAGTGGGGAGTGGGGAGGGGAGCGTGTCTTATAGTTCGAAAAATATGGGTATATATGTATTTTTAGCATGTTTAACGTGCAAACCAGTTAATCTGCACCTAAATAACCAAGGGTTGACTAGAACATTTATTTTAATGACCTTGAAGCTTGCAGAGAACTTTGATATACTTCAGATTTAACTCTTGCAATACTACAAGATAGAGGCAGGTACTATTTCCATCAGACAAATAAGGAAATTCAGGTTTAGTGTGACAGAACTAGGATTGTATTCCAGGTCTTCTGCCTCCATAGTAACTGTCTGCCACAATGCCACAGAAAATAATAAATACAAACCCTCATCATCTGATCTCTCAAGTGGAACATTGAGAATTTAGAGATTAAGACAACTTTCCAGAAACATGCAATATAAAACAATTTACATTTCTATTTGTAGTGAATTCAAACAATGTTTATTAAATTTTATTTTAAACATTGATTTGATCTCATTATTATGGGTACACAGACATAAGTCCTGGTGCAACTGTACTATTTTTAATGCTTCTGAAGTTAACATTAACTTTAGGCCTCTGTTTTATTTCTCTTTCTATACTATGACATCTCTATAAATATAAATTTGATGACATAGAAAGGTTGAGGGGCAGGTGGTGTTCAAAATTTGCTTGCATGGTACTGAGTGAAAAGAAGGAAACAGATTTCTATACTTCACTGAAATAAAAATAAATAGAGCCAATTTTCCACAGAATTCTCCAAAAAGTCAAGACCCGAATGCCGAGTAATATATGACCTTAACCTTGTAGTTTTCTTGATCACTCGGAACAAATGTAAAATGGATGGGATTACATTATCTTTTGCTAGGCTTCTTGGCTTAAAGATAAGCAGTAAAAATGCAACTAAAAAGTTTCTAACTAGAAGCATGCTTTATTTCTCTAACATTTTTACCTTTAACATTTGGTTATAATGTATTCAATATGAAAAATGATAAAGCTTACCTCACAAGCAGGGCATATAATTGTGTTGTATTCTTCAGTTACTAATAAACATAGTTCACAAAAACCATGTCCACATTGAAGTTCGTTGTGGTGACCTATTGATGAAATTATGAATTAATCTTTCCCGTTTGTTAACAGTATGCAGCATTAGTCAAAGGAGAATGTTAGAGGAGATTTTCTTGTGTATGAAAAGATATCAAAAGTTAGTTAGAAATGGATGACTTAATATGGTGGTGTAGACAGACATGGCTTGCCTCTTTGCACAACCACATCAAAATTACAACTAAAATATAGAACCAGCACTCAGAAATATCAGAAATTGAGTTTAATGGTAGTCTGACAACTATCAAATTAAAGAAACCACATCCATCCAGATTGGTAGGAGGGGCACAGACGCTGAATGGGCTGGTCCCTCATCCATGTGTGATATATAAAAATTTGGGAGGGATTTCTTGGGAGTGAGGAGTCCAAGCCCCACACCAAGCCCCCCAGCACAGGGTTCCACTGCCCTCCTAAGGATAAGTCCCACAACTCTGGCTGTGAAAACCAGTGGGAAGTGAGTCAGAGAAAGAACCTTCTGGAGTCCTGAGCAGTCCCTCTGAAAGAATCCACACAAGGACTCACCCACTCAGACTCACTCCCTCTGAGCTCCAGCACCTGGATAGCAGCTTGAAAGACACTAGAGATATAAAGGGAGGAACTGAAGTATCTGGCATCAAGGTGATCAGAGGCCATTGTCCCTTTTCTAAACCTCCCCTCTCCAAGAGCCAGCATATTGGTGCCCTATCTGAGACTCCATCAACCTGGATAACACTGTTTGACCTGCCTTTGAGATCACCCCACCCAACTTATGGGCCCATCCAAGCTGCTTTTTCTTATGAGTGGCTGGTCTTGGCTCATGTTTCACAACTTCCTATATCTTCTCAAACAACAGCTGGCCTCAGTGAGTCTCAGGCCTGGTACTAGCAGCAGCCACCAATTTACAGCTTGGCTTCACCTGGGAATCTCCAAGCCCAGCACAAGTAGCAGCCATCTCAGATTGCTTTATAGCTCAGAAAGGGTGGCCCCGGGCAAAACACAGGTGGGGGCTAACCTTGGCCTGCACCACCCAGGAAACCCCAGGGCCAGCAAACCCAGTGGACAGATGCAGTCCACTTTGGAACACCACCACTCTACTCTTGCACAGCTGGTCCTCCATGGAGGGTGGAGGTTGGTGGTAAGTGATCACAGCCAGTCCTTGCAGCTGACTGGCCTGGGTAAATTCCTCCCATTGGTCTGCCAACAGCAACCAAGGCTCAACTACAAGAGGAGGGAGCACACACAAAGGGTATACACCCTGTTTACCCCAGCTTGGGTGATAGGGGAGGCTGTGCCACTGGACCCTATAGGACACCTATGATATTAGGCCACACTACCATGACATAGAGTCAAAGCTGCTCTACCTAATACATAGAAACATAGGGCAGCTGCCAAAACAAGGAGACAAAGAATCACGGCCCAAATGAAAAAAATAGATAAAAACTCTGGAGAAAGAGCTACACGAAATGGAGATAAGCAATTGATCAGATGCAGAGTTCAAAACACTGCTATAAGGATGCTCAAGGAACTTAGTGAGGACTCAGCAGCATAAAAAGACCCAATTAGAAATGAAGGATACAGTAACTTAAATCAAGAACAATGTACAGGGAAACACAGTAGAGTGGATGAAGCTGAGAGTCAAATCAATCACTTGCAACATAAGGAACAAAAAACAACCAATCAGAACAACAACAAGAAAAAAATCCAAAAAGATGAGGAAAGTATAAGCTGGGTCTGGGACAACTTCAAGACGTCCAACATTCACATCACAGGGGTGCCAGAAGGAAAAGTGAAAGAGCAAGAAATTGGAAACTTATTTGAAAAAATAATGAAAGAAAGCTTCCCTAATTTGGTGAAGGAAATGATATTCAAGTCCAGGATGCAGAGAGTCCCAAACAAGATAGATGCAAAAAGGCCCACTCCAATATACATCATAATTAAAATACCAAAAGTTAAAGATAAAGAGAAACTCATAAAAACAGCAAGAGTGAAAAGTTAGTTACCTACAGGCAAATTCTCATAAGACTGTCAGCTGATTTCTCAAAAGAAACTTTGCAGGCTAGAAGGGATTGGCAAGAGATATTCAAAGTCATGAAAGGCAGGGACCTACAGCCAAGATTGCTCTATGCAGCAAAGCTATCATTCAGGATTGAAGTGCAGATAAAGAGCTTCCCAGATAAGAAAAAAACTAAAGGAGTTCATTACTAAAACATTATCATATAAAATGTTAAAAGGACTTATTTAAGAAAAAGATCAAAACTGTGAACAATAAAAATACATTTCAACAATGGAATCTAAAAAACAAACTAAGCAAACAAGAACAACAGAGTTAGAATCATGGATATAGAAAGCATTTTGATGATTGTCATGATGGGAGGGGGTTGTGGGGGAAAGGGTGAAGAGGTGAGGGGATTAAGAAGTACAAATAGGGACTTCCGGCAAGATGGAGGAATAGGTGGATGCACCGTACCTCCTCGCACAACCAAGATTAGAACAACAATAATTTACAAATAGAATATCACTCAGAACTGACAGAGGATTTATCTGAATGGAAGTCGGACAGCCAAGAAGTTGAAGTAGACCCGTACATCCAGACTGGTAGGAGATGGCGAGCTGGGCGGGCGTGGGGCTGGTGCGGGTCGGCGGCGCGTGGAGGTCGGGGAAAATTTGGCGTGAAATCGGCGGGACAGCCATCCGGGGCGCAAGAACGCAGTGGTGATCCCTGAGTACGCAAGCTGCAGCTGGCGGACCCAGTGAGGCAGCGATTGTGGACCAGGGCAGAGCTCGCAGCCCAGGAACCCAAAGAAGGGTCTGAGCCCAGGAGAACGGAACTACCGCCATTGTTCCCTCCCGCTCCCACCCCCACCCCCACATATAACATCACAATCTAGCGACCGGGGTGCCCAGCCCCGGTGAACACCTAAGGCTCCGCCCCCCACTGTAACAAGAGTGACCAGACCGGAAGGAAAAAAAAAAAGAGGAGAGACAGGGAAAGACATTAGACATGTTTCCAACAGAACAGATCAGTCCCCCAGGACTCATCCTTTTGACTGACCAAGAAATAGCCAATCTATCAGATGCACAGTTCAAAACACTGGTGATCAGAAAGCTCACGGAATTGGTTGATTTTGGGCGCAATTTAGATGAAAGGATGCAGGTTACCATAAAAGAGATGCAGGAAGATACGCGGAGGAGAGCCAATAGTGAAAGGAGGGAATCTGAGTCTCAAAACAATACAGTGGACTAGAAGGAAGATAGAATCAACCAAGCAGCAAAGCATGATGAAATAAGAATTCAAAAAGTCGAGGAAAAGCTTAAGAGCATCCAGGACACCTTTAAACGTTCCAACATCTGAATTATAGGGGTACCAGAATGGGAAGGAGAAAAGCAACAGACTGAGCACATATTTGAACAAATAATAAAGGAGAACTTCCCCAATCTGGCAGAGGGAACAGTCTTCCAAGAAATCCAAGAAGCTCAGAGAGCCCCAAAGAAGTTATATCCAAGAAGAAACACACCAAGGCACATCATAATTACATTAGCCAAGGTAAAAACAAAGGAGAGAATCCTAGAAGCAGCAAGAGATAAGGGGACAGTAACCTACAAAGGAATTCCCATCAGACTGTCAGCTGATTTCTCCAAAGAGACCTTACAGGCAAGAAGGGGCTGGAAAGAAATATTCCAAGTCATGAAAGACAAGGACCTACATCCCAGATTGCTCTATACAGCAAAGCTCTCATTTAGAATGGAAGGGAAGATAAAGTGCTTCTCAGATAAGGTCAAGTTAAAGGAGTTCATCATCACCAAGCCCTTATTTTATGAAATGCTAAAGGGACTTATCTAAGAAAAGAAGATAAAGAAAAGACATGTATAGTAAAAGGACAGCAAACTCACAATTATTAACAACCACACCTAAAGCAAAACCAAAAGAAACTAAGTAAACAACTAGAACAGGAACAGAACCACAGAAATGGAGGGCACATGGAGGGCTAGCAGCAGGGGGGTGGGAGGAGGAGAGGGGGGAAAAGGTATAGAGAATAAGTAGCATAGAATGTAGGTTGAAAATAGTTAGGGGGAGGGCAAGAATAGTACGGGAAATGTAGAAGCTAAAGAACTCATAAATATGACACATGGACATGAACTAAAGGGGGGAACGTGGGTGGGAGAGGGGGTGGAGGGGAGAGAAGGGGGAAAATGGCACAACTGTAATAGCATAATCAATAAAATACATTAAAAAAAAAGAAAAAAAAGAAGTACAAATAGGTAATTACAGAAAAGCCATGTGGATGCAAAGTACAGTATAGGAAATGAAGCAGCCAAAGCACTTATACCCACAACCCATGAACAATGGAGGTGGACTGTCTGAGGGAGTGGGTGGTGCTGGGAGGAGGGGGGCAAAGGAGGAAAAATCAAAATAATAGCATAATCAATAAAATACAATTTTAAAAAAGAGATAGGGAAAGAGGAGAAAAAAGAAAAGGAAAAGGAAAAAGGGATTACTTATTAAACAAAATTCAGGAACACCTATACTTGTCAGAAGGAGTGAGAAACATCAGAAGAAAAACCAGGTGGAGCTACATATTTCACCGTGTATAATGCGCATTCATGTTTTTGACCCAAATTTTCAGGAAAAAAAATCTTCTGTTTTAATTAATTCAATTTTTTATTTACACGAAGAAACAAAACGGACTATTGTATTCCAGGGTATTATTTTGCACATGGACATCATTATTGCTTTCTGGAGTTACACTTTTAATGCACAAGCATAAATAAAAGAATTAAAAACATTTATAGAGATACGGAATTAGTACTACCCATATATAATGCACATCCTTCTTTTTCCCTCAAAAATTTGGGCAAAAAGTGTGCATTATACACGGCAAAATACACTATGTAATATTGTTTGCATCAATTCAGATAGCTTGTGGTACCTATGATACTTTCAATTTGCCATATCTTAAAATCATACAAAGTGCTCTGACATTCTTCATTGGCTCTGTGTAAACATCTGGCTAAGTTGGCTGAAAATGTTATATGCAACCTAGAGATGGGAAAACATTTTGGTGGTGTGGCTAATTAAATGGTATAATTAGACTCCAGCCTGGTTCTGTTTCCAAGTGCAATGTTTTTTCTAGTTGATCATACTGCCCTCTACTAATTTATATTTCCCATCCTGTAAAGTAGACATAGAATGCAGATATAAGACATTGGTAAGATGCTACTAAGATACTGGCAATGACAGAAACTAGATGCTACTACTGCCACATGCATGATCCATGTAAAGATCATTTTCACAAACCTAGCATTTATGGGGGAAACACCATAATCTTAATTGAAAACCTATTATCAAGATTTTTTATTAAACATTTTTAAAATATTTATTTAGAGGGGAAGAGAGAAAGAGAGGGAGAGAAACATCAAGGTGTGAGAGGAATATCCACTGGGTTGCCTCTTGCACACTCCCCCCCAACACCAGGGCCCTGGCCTACAACCCAGGCACGTTCCCTAACTGGGTATCAAACCAGCAACATTTTTGGTTTATGGGACTCAGCCCAATCCACTGAGCTGTTGGGGACAGCCCTGCCTGGTCTCAGGAAGCTGTAACCCCCAATGACTTAGGCTGAGTGAAAGACCTCTGGACCAGGAGCCACTGAAGGAGACAAAACTTATTCCCCTGGCATGAACGCTACCTGTTCGGTGCCTGGCCTCCTAGGCTTGATCAGTTAGCCAATGACGGGTAAGATTTCCCTGGAGGGAATCATCTAAGACAGGCATGATCACGAGGAGGCCTCTGGGTAGAGACTCAGGGGCTGTGGAAATGAAGGCGTGATGGACATCAACCCCTGCCCCCTTGGCTTTGTCGAAGCCTGAGTCCTTGTTCTTAGATGTGAGAAACCCAAGTCTCCTGGCTGCCTTTGTCACCTCTGCCCAACTCAAGCCTGCGGAGATATCAGAGGGGTGCAGCCCAGACCAGAAACGGCGGACCCCTGGGGTAATCAGGCCTGGGACATAAAATATAGAAGATCCTGTGAGATCTGTTTGCTGGAGGATGTTACTGAATTAGAATTTAAAGGCACAGACAGGAAACCAAAAACAGCCCTTTGGGCCCCATAGTCCTTTCAAATGATAAAACTCCAAACTCTGCCCAGAATCCCAGCAGGGGTTCTGCCAGCATCTTTGAAAGTCACCTATTTCTGTTGGTCTTTTCTGCCAGACTGTGAATCCACAAACTAAGTCTCTATTCTTAATAAAAACCTGCTTGGGAATGGAAATGGCGTGCTCCCCACCAGAGAGAGTGGCCATTTCGTCCCTATTTCCCCACAGGACCCGGTTGTCTCTGTGTATGTTTTTCTCATGTTTCGATGAGCATCTGCAGCAGGGATGGATACTGCTGGCCAGTATCCGCCACACTGAGCCACAGCAGTCAGGGCTATTATTAAGATTCCACTGCTGGTATTATACTTTAAAAATACCAAAACACCAATTCAAAAGAACCTCTGCACCCCAATGTTTATAGCAGCACAATTTACAATAGCCAAATGCTGGGAGCAACCTAAGTGCCCATCAGTGAATGAGTGGATCAAAAAACTGTGGTACATTTACACAATGGAATACTACACAGCAGAGAGAAAAAAGGAGCTTCTCTATCCTTTGGGACAGCATGGATGGAACTGGAGAGCATTACGGTAAGTGAAATAAGCCAGGCGGTGAGGGGAAATACCATATGATCTCACGTGTAAGTGGAACTTAATCAACAAAACAAACAAGCAAGGAAAATACAACCAGAGACATTGAAATAAAGAACTGACTATAACCAGAGAGGAGCAGGGAGAGGGATAATGGGGGAAAATAGGGGAAGGGTTATCAAGGAACTTGTATAAAGGACACACAGACAAAGCCAAAGTGAGGACTTTCAAGGGTGAGAGGCGAGGATGGGTGGGGCTGGGAGGTGTGATGAGGTGAAAATGGAGACAACTGTACTTGAATATTAAAAAAAAGATTTTAACTCTTTAAGTAGAACTTAAAGTTTATCATAGTAAGCATGTTCTTAGCTATGCAACTTCAAAAGGATGTCATTTTAAAAGACTGCAAGACCAAAAGGAAAGGAAACTAGATAAAATCAGTCATCTTTCACTGGCAAAAAAAAATTAGTGTTCTTGCTGATTAATAACTGCATTATTTTGATTAAAAAAAGTTTTAGGCCCAGTAGCTCAGTTGGTTAGAGCATTGTTATGATACTCCAAGGTTGCAGGTTCAACCCCTGGTAATGGCACATAAAAGAATCAACCAATGAATACATAAATAAGTGGAACAAATTAATCTCAATTTCTCACTTTAAAAGCAATACATTTTTTTATTTTATTTATTTATTTTTTAGAGAGGGAAGGGAGGGAGGGAGGGAGAGAGAGAGAGAGAGAGAGAGAAACATCAATGTGTGGTTGCTGGGGGCCGTGGCCTGCAACCCAGGAATGTGCCCTGGCTGGGAATCGAACCTGGGACACTTTGGTTCCCAGCCCGCGCTCAATCCACTGAACTACGCCAGCCAGGGAGCAATACATTTTTTTTAAAAAGCTTTAGTTTTTAAGCCAAGAGAAGTATCTGAAACTTGCTTACTAACAAGCTAACTTTTTAAAGCTCTATTTAAATTCCAGAGATAGTACCAAAAATATCCAAACTGTTTAACTGTTTTGTCTTTATAAACTTCTTATACTGTACAAGTCAAAATAACTTGTGGTATATTAGTGCTTACAAAGGAGGAAGTACTTTTCACAATTCTAGATGCATAACCACCACCTTTCCAGATGAGTATTTCTAAGCATTGTAACATAGAACATTCAAGAGAACCAGTGATTTTTAGAAGGTCATGTTCTAGAACTTCTTGTAACTCTTATTTCCTTCAAACAATGGAGACTTTCTATACAACAGTCAAGATCAAAACTCAGATTAGGAGAAAGTTGGTCTCCACCAGGTAAACACAACCCACCAATTTTTCTCTACACAGATTCACAAGTCCCCAGCTGAGTCTACCTAGGAGGGACTAAGAAAACTGATGGAGTGACTTTGAAAGTACAAACATTAAACAATTACACAGGGTAACAAGGCTTACCATCATCTCCAGGAGTTGAAATTCAAAACTAATCCCTGTCAGAGACAGAGCAGTCCAAGGCACCAATACATTTTTAAATGTATACAGTCCAATACATTTAAAAGTGTACTTTACATTAAAATAACGAACCTGCTTTCACTTGAGCAGATCTAAATTAGCACATCAATGCGAACCTAAAACTGCTCTAAAACAAAGTCTAACATATATAAAATACAGACCTTGTATAAAGAAAAAAAACAGATCAATAGGAAGGCTGTGTATGTATTCCCTCGCACAAAAAAAACACAAGATGCATAACAGGAATTCTTCGTGGCAAACAGCAATAATTCCCTCCTCCACCAAAAAAAAAAAAATCTCTAATAGCTGTTTAAGTCAGGAACATTTCACAGTGGTCTACTTGTCACTTCTACAACTAAAACTACACAAGAAATTCAAGGCTCATTACGTCTTGACCGCAAGGCCCAGACTCTTTCGTGAACCTGTGGGCGTTTTTCCAACCGGTGCTGTGGGGAGGACGCAGTGTCCCGTGGGAACGTCAAGAAGTGGCGGAAGCTACCGAGGAGGAGGAGCGAAGCACCCACAACCGACTTCGAGCTCTACTCTGCCCTCTGGGGGGGCGACAGGAGGTGTCCTGTGTGACCGTTTCCAGTCAGCCCAACTGCTGATAGCCTAGCTGCTCCCACCTTCGCTGGCCTCGCAGTCTCCAAGCCCGCCGCCCTGACCGAGCCCCCCGCTAAACTGACCCTTGGACTCCTCACCAGAAGCTCTAGTTACCCTTCTTTCACAACGAGCGCACTGAATTTCAGCAGCTACCCACTGCCGGCCCTTCCTTTCCATCTGCTGATAGGAAAATAAGGTGAGGCGACCTGACGAAGACTCTGCCGCTGCCGACTTCTAGATTCTAGGAGTGTACCACGTGCCAGTCCCAGCAACCCTTGCGCCAGCCACCAATCATCGAAAGCATTACTGCAGTTTGCCGATCAGCAGGCTAGGAGATTAAAGCCCGCACCCTCCACTTGCCCCCACCCCTCAGCTTCACAACACCGCCACCCCCCTCCCACCAACGGTCGCGCACGTGTGGGGAGACTTTCAGTTTTATCCCAGTAGCTTTACTGCCAAGGAAGAGCAGGTGGCAGTTTGAAGGACTGTTCACTTTCAAACCTCTACCTAAGATGTCACCCGCTGAGCACTCAGTGCATCACATCCGCAGTTCCCATATTATTACATACTCTGTTGTAGGCCTTACAGGCAGCAAACAATCCCTGTATTGAAGGGATCCCCCTTCCCTGGTATCTATCAGGGCCAGGAAACCTATACCTATTTAAAAATAAAGTATTTTAATCCCATATTTGAATCATCTGCTAGGGATTTGAAGGCTTGACTACTATTGGGTTGCCCAAAAAGTCCGCATAATTTTTTTTCCATAAAATAAAAGACACATTTTTCATTTTCAACAATAACTATTGATTTGGATATTTTGAGTATGTTGGCTGGTTCCCGGTGATAGACAGGTGATATCAATTAATGTCTCAATTTGATTGCTATCAACTCTAATTGGTCTACCCGACCTTGGAATATCGTCCAGCAAGAAATCTCCAGCACGAAACTTCACAGAACCACTTCTGACACGTTTGATCAGTCTCAGCAATTTCTCCATACACTGCACAAATGTTTTTTGTGTGTTTCAGTTGCTTTTTTACTTTTCTTGAAATAATAAGCATAATATGCTAAAACTGTTGTGCATTTTCTTCCATTTTCAATATTAAAATGGCTACACAAAAATTCACCAATTCTAATGTTTTTTATTTGCATCCTGATATGACAACTGTGACAATACAATCTAACAAAATTGTTTTAGATGAAGTTAAAGATAACTAAGTGCTATTAGATCAGTCTTACTAAAAAAAACAAGCAAATATTTTGCCCAACCCAAAAGTAGATTCAGTGGAGAACCTATCAGTGTCTACTGGTGGGAAATTCAATTAACCATTTCAGACTAAGAGATGGTCATCATTACTAACAGTCGTTAAACTGGGAGTGGTTGGTGAAGCTAAGAATTTATAAAGAACAGGACAAGTATAATCTCTACCTGAAACAGTAACCTCTGTTACGGTAGCTTGTGGTGAGTTCCAGAGGGTAGTTAGAGACAATAAAAGTCACTACACTCTGGAAAGATAAAGTCAATATGGCATGAAGAGCTTTCCTAGAGGACATGGGGTTTGCACTGGACCCTAAAACCTAGGTAGCACTTTAGGCATAAAAAGGAAAGGAGGCATTCCAGGGAGAAGGAACAGCATAAGCAAGGGAAGGTAGATAAGAGATGCAGTGCTGTCTTTGGAAATTAATTCATCGACCTCTTGGCCAGAGCATTAATTTCCTTAAAATGAGTTTTTTGAGAGGATATTGGGGTGGAATTTTGGACAGTCTTGAATGTTGGACTGAGTTGGAACTTTACCCTTCAAGCAGTAGAGTTCTGTCTAAGTGTGTGACCAAGGGACGAAGTCCCTGTGGCAGGTGTATTATGGAGTAAGCACCTGGAGATGATGGCAGGGTGCCGTCAGCCTTTAAAAATAAGAGCCTGCACATATTTTTTATTCCCCTTCTACATTTTTTTCTGAAATATAAACAGAAGTTCAAAAGCTCACCTGTAGCACAGAAGCCCCAAACCAGGGACCTGCTTAAGTGATCATGATATTCTGAAAAAAACCCACCTGGAGCACTACCAGATGTGGTCATGCCATTTGTTACTCACATATAGGGGAGTTTACTGACATCAGTGGGTCAGTGCAAGAGAAACTGCACTTCCTCCACTCTGAGGCTCATTATAAGGGGTTCAGACAAAGGCCACATGGATCCAGGTTGCACAAACCTACATGTAGCCTAGGAGTACGTTACATTAGTGTGTACGTGCAAATGGAAAAGGTCAAGAAGCAGTCACAGGACAAGACGCCAATGTAGCATCCAGCAAACTCGAGAACAAATATCGGAGACTTTCAGGGTATCAAAGATGTTACTTTATTGGCCAAGTTTAACCTGCGCAGGGGCAAACTCCCAAAGTGTCCAGTGACACAGTGCCCACAAGGAGCTGCAAATGAGAGTCGCACCGAGTGCTTACAACTACGTTCTTATATAGGGGCGGGCAAGCAAGTGCTATACAGAAGCAGACGTGGCAGTTAGCAATTCGCTTACAAAGACCGCGCGTGGGAATTTCAAACCAAGCATTCTTGCATAAGGCGGGAAGGCAGGCTGTTTGTTCATTAACCTAGTAATCTCCTGGCTCTAGCTAGCTAGTTTTCTATTTTCTCATTAAAAACTACAAAGCACTGCTTATCTAGCCTACCCAGGGGAGAGCATCTGCTAGACACAGGATATTTGCTTAACTGTACTCTGGCTCTTTTATCATTTCTTTTTAGCTACAATGTGGTTCTGTTACAGGGTGCAGCCAAGAGGGGGGACCCCAAATGGGCATTTGAAATGGGGTCCAGAACTTAAGGTGTCCAGGAGATTTTAAGATGTCTCCATCCCCCCAACCCAGGGTGTGGGTTGGGGGAAGGGACAAATGGAGCAGGGCCAGTGAGATCTGTTTTGCATAGCAACAGCCTTGCAGCTAAGCTCTGGCGTGGTCATTTAACATATCGATAGCCTTTGGCTGGTTGCATGGATATGTTAAATAGCTGTGATCATCTCTGAGCCAGGGGAATGGAAGTAACTTCCCCACCAAGACGTGACTGGGGGCAGATCCCCCAAGCTACAGCGCCTGCGTGGGAGCTCGGAGATGATTGACTCCAGGACATGGGGCCACACCTGCCCAGACTCATGATGGCAGCCCAGTAAAGCTGGAAGGATACGAGTTCTGGCATGTGAAGCCAAGTGTGGGAGGAGTCAGAAATGAGGCTGCAGAGGAAGATTGGCCGCGGGGATTTCAAAACCCAGACTTGGCAGCCATTGGTGAGAGAGAACCATGCTGCTTTGAGAAGGAGAGCCATGCGCAGCCCTGAGGAGGTGAACCATGCGCAGCCCTGAGAGGGAGAGAACCATGCGGCTTTAGCAGAATGGGGAGGACCTCAGCCATTGGGAGAGAACCATGCTGCTTTAGGAAAGAGAACCATGTGGCTTTAGCAGAATGGGGAGGACATCGGCAATTAGGAGGGAGAACCGTGCTGCATTAGGAGGGAGAACCACACGGCCTTGACAGAGTGGGGACTCCCATGGCCCTGGGAGAGAGGACCACATGCCTATGCCAGAGTGGGGACCCCCACAGCTTTAGAAGGGGAACCACCACCTGGTTTTAGCAGAGATCCCGGCGACTCAGCTGAGGGTGCCGGGAACCCAGGGAGGTCTCCCAGTCGAGATGGAGTATTAACTGGGAAGAACCAGAGGACTGCCTGAGCCATGGACTTCTATTTCCTTTCCTGAGATACGGTACTCTGGACTGGGCAAAAGGGGGAAGGAAGGAAGGACTGTGTCTGTTTGTGGGTGTTTTAAGGGACTTTAGGATTTTTGATGAAGACATTAGGTCACTACTTGAAGCCTGTATAGCATTAAATAAACATTTCCTTTCCTTTTCACGAATTTCTGGCATTGAGAGACGTCTTTCCTAGGGCAGCGGACATAACGGACCCGGGGCTTCTTTCAATAATAGTATATTGTCCCAGGCACCCCTTGTTCTGTTCTGTAACAGTTCTTGTCTATTAAGGTTAAATTTAGTTCTTAGTTTCCTTGTTCCCAACATTCCCCCGTTTTCTCTTGGGGGTTTGTCAAACCCTTGACTCTTCATCATCAGGAATCATAGTATAGGGTTGGGATACAACCATTAGCTTTACTACTTCTATTCTTTCTTTAATAAAGGCTATGACCCTATTTAAAATGTAGGGCCCTATAGTGATTGCTAGCAGGAGTATACCCCAAGGTCCAGTCTACTTTTCTTCTAATTGATTTTCTGGGGATTTTGTCCTCCAAATCTCTATTTGGGGACCCTTTGGCTGCACCCTCCTTTTAGATATACCACTTTAAATTCTTTTAAAGGACAATGGACGAAGGTCTCATCTTCTTGTAACTGCTTCCGGCTGGAAAATGGACGTTGTTTTACCCACCCATGGGTCAGGGGTGCCCTGAAAGGGGGGGGGGTGCAGCACGGAGGGAGTCCTTCCTGTAAGGGGAGGGCCTTTACAGAATCCTGGTCAGTTGGCTATTATCAGGAAGTCGCAGGCTCGGTGTCCAAAGGCTGGCATTACTGGACCGTTGGCATCCTGATTATTTTCTGGAGGTGACAGATTTGGAAAGAGTTGGAAGGCACAATTAAATAATAACCACTAAATGACAAAGGCAGGGACTTAAGTAAAGAATGGCTTATCTGGAGGAAGGTGTACAAGGCATGCTACACCTATTCGAAACTTGTGGCCCGCTATACTTCACTCGGGCTGAGGGGAATATGTTAGGATTTCCCTCCTTTTAGATATCTGGGCCCTTTCTGTCCAAGCCATCAAGACAGAAAAGGCAAAATTAGTTCTAAAGTGAAGCCCACAGACCGCCCAAACCATTCACCAACCCAACCACTCAGTTCAGCCAAACCGTTGAGTCTCGGGGGTGATGATGAAAATGGGCTCCTTAGGCAAGGTTTATATTCACTCACTCATTCCACCAATTACTCAGGTAATGAAGTCATAGGCATATGCCCTATGAAAACAGAAGAACACACAGGTTAATTCACACAACAATTCCCAAACCAGTCTCTGTGCCTGTGAGACTGTCTTTTGGGAAGACATTCAATTGCAAGGTTCTTCCTGCACTAACATTTAGCAATGGCAATTTCACAAGTCCTCCATACCTGTAAATTGTACATCTTTGGTGATATTACAAACTCTGTTTCAACTTTCAAATGAAAACAACCTTTCAAGACAGTTAGCTGCACCATTCTGATGTCCAATACTAAGCACTGTGATTTTCCTTGAACCACAATTTTTCTCCTTAAGATCACCCTCACTTATTACAGGGACTACTTTGAGTCCCGCTTTTAATTTTGACTGTTTGCATAAACACACCAAGAGCAGCCTGGATCACTTATGATCCTTGAGTCTACCTTGCTGGAACTCACACAGGGAGCCTTTAGATTGACTTCTCAGTCCGCCCCCCTGGAGCACAGAAGCAGAGTCACACATTTGCCATCTGGCTTCGCCTGTACCAGTTGTTTCACTCAAATCCTTGAGGCTTCCATTGTGCTTACAGGTTCCTTTTTGGCCATCTTTCATGAAAGCAACCATCGTTCCTTCCCTGGAAAGACTGCCATGAACCACACAACCAACCAAAGTACCAGGCTTTTTTGTGGGCTTATGCTAGCTTCACAAGTCAATCCCAGTTCCTCAGGGCTTTCTGGTGACGACCAGAACCCATACATGCCTCCTTCAGGCGTAACATTCCAGTCAAAGTTTCAGTTAACAAAACCACTATTCACGACCGGTCTTATTGGTTTTATGCAAAGAAACCTTATATTATCACTCACTCCTTCAGAATGCCAAATTCTGGAGGGATCAGGTAGGGAGAAAAATACAAAGTGTGAAGGAAAATCCTTCCCCTCCTGATATCCACCAGGCTTCTCAAAACCTTCACTTCCACAGACCTGCAACATTCACAAACCCTTTATTTTATACAGCTTCTGATATCCACCAAGATTGCATTTTTATGCCTTATACCTTCTTTTATTAACTAACACCACATAATTCCTTTCTAAAACTTTCCTACAGAGTGTGAAGTTTCAACTTTCCCTGGAATTCTCAATTTCCTTTTTAGAGCAGATACAGAGCAAAATCCAAAACACAGAGTTTCCAGAACAGTACACAGGTAGGGGCATTCTCTTGCACAGAGACATGCTTCTTCAGGCCCGGTCTTTTGGCAGAGACATGCTGCTTTGCCCACGGCTGAAGCACTTATCAGCCCCAAATGACCCTGCCTAGGTCCTGAGTGGCAAAGGCATCCTCCCCAACCGGTTACAGGCAACCTTTCCTAGGTCTTAAAGTACAGAAGGTTTCTAATCAGAAGCAACACCAATGTTAGAAATCTTGCTTGTTTCCTACAAAACCAGAAAACAATTCAGGTTTCCTTTACTCCAGGTTTAAATCTTTCACATCCTTTACACATAATTTTTACACATCCAGATTTAACCATCAATCTCTTTTAATCCTGGTTCCTTTCCCACACTGGGAAGGACTATACTTAAACTCAGTATTAGACTCAGCACTTAGACTCAGCATGTGGCACTCACTGATTCCGATTGGTGCCTCCAACAGTTGGTGGTTCCTCTCTCCCCCTCCGCCCAGGTCTTTGAGCAGTCGGGACGCGGCACGGGAGTCTTCACTTAATCCCTAGGATTTTACTAACCTTCTGTGTGATTTCTTGAGTTGATACACACATTTACTCTCTTTCCATGAGACAATTCCAGTCTGGTGATGAAGCCAGGTGCACTTTCAGAGACTCAAAAGCCTGAGTGTGCTCCTTTGTCCACTTTAAAGGGCTATATTCCGGTCCCTTCAGAGCCTCACACAGTGGATTAGCAGTGAGCCCAAAGCTTGGAATTCAAATGCAGCAGTCACTTGCCATCCTCGGGAATCTCCTTAACTGTTTCTTAGTGTTGGGAAGAGTCCTCTGTGGACTTTTGTTGCACGGCCTGCACTTACTTAGACTTTCTGTTTAGGGATGCCTTTCCCATTTCACTCACAGGAGTGGATCCCCTGGGGCTGCAGGAACTCTGACCAGCCTGCAGCGGTGTTAATACCTAGATCTTCCTGGCCCCTCTCCTCTGACCTTCTATCTTTTGTAGTTTCTTTCTGATGTCTGAGGCAGCCTGTGTTACAAAAGCTATATTCATCAGTCTTCGATTCTCTTCTGCCTCAGGGTCTAGGGGAGTATATACTCTATATGCCTCCAAAAGTCTCTCTAAGAATGCAGCGGGGGATTCTTCCCTGCCCTGAATAACCTCTCTAACTTTGCTAAAATTGGTAGGTTTCCTTGCTGCTGCCTTGAGTCCCCTGAGTAGAGTCCAGCGATACTGGAGGAGCGCGTCCCTTCCCCCAAAAGTACTAGGGTCCCAAGCAGGGGGTTGAGAGGGGAGGATGTCCTCGATCTCCCTTCTACCAGCTATTGTCTCCCCCTCCTGTCCTAATACAGATTTTGCTGCCTCCCTTATAATACGGTCTCTTTCCTCTGATGTAAAGAGAGTCTGCAAAATCTGCTGACAATCATCCCAGGTTGGCTGTTGAGTCCTAAAAATAGTTTCCAGGAGGGAAATCAATCTCTGGGGTTTCTCAGAAAACAGGGGATTCTGATGCTTCCATTATACAAATCACTAGTGGAAAAGGGGACATAGATCAACCGTGGGAGTGCCTGCGACGGAGCATCCGGCGCTAGGGGCGCCTCCCGAAGAGGCAAGACGGCAGCCCTTCCCACGGCAGGCAAAAGCGCCCTGCCCCCTTCCCCAGGCAAAATGGTGGCCTTTCCCGCCGAGTAAATGGCCCCTCCCCGAGTGTGTGGCAGGCTCACAAGTCCGTGGATCCCTGGCAGAGAGGAATCTGGCTCCTCCTCCCTACGAGGGTAAGGAGAAGGTGCATTTACTGGGTCTAGATGGTCCTCCGGTGGACCGGACAAAACTGGGTACAACCTAGGCTGAGCTCGGGGAGGTTCTGGGGCGGGTGCTGTGTCTTTTCCCTTTCCCCTATTTTTAGGTGTGGCCAGGCAAATTGCCCGCCTCCCCCGCTGGCTCCCGCACAGGCACTTCTTTATGTATCCAGGCCTTTCTGTTGCGATGTCTACCCAAACATCAATATAAACGAATTGGTCGGGATGGGGAACCCTGTATACTGTGGCCCACACTGCAAACAAGATAGGCAGATCAAAAGTACCCTCCGAGGGCCATCCCACATCAAAGGTGGGCCATTCTAATTGGCTTAGCGTCTGCAGGAACTCAGAATCTAATGGTAGACCACCATAATCTCGGGCTCGCCTCTGGAAATCAGAAAAATTCTTCAGCAGGCAGTCGAGGGGTGAGGCCGGCACCGACTCTTGTTGTCCCATCTGGCCCTGATATGGAGGCTCTAGGATTAAAGTAACAACCACAAAAACAGCCCAAGAAAGAAAAGTAAAACCAAAAAGAGTTCGAACACAACAAGGATCGTTCACTCCAGGCATGTAATTCAAAAATCTATTTGCTACACAGAATGCAGACAAGACAAAACACAGAACACAGTCGCTCGCCCGCCTGGCCTGCCCTCTCGCGAGGTGATGTCGATCTTGGCTAAGGTTGCCCGATCAGAGTCCGGGTTAGACTGCCAACCATTATGCCGTATGATCTGACACAGGAACCACAGGTTAGGGTCCTCTCATGCCCCGTAGGTTTCCCCGTGGTGCTACAAACACAGTCACTCACGAGCTCGTTCACTCACACACTTAAATATTTCAATCACAGTGCGGCGCAAAAGGGAAGGGAACCTGACGTGACCAGTCACTACTTAATTTCCAAAACCAAATTCCACGGGTGGTGTCCCACCTCTGGAGGTCCCTGGGTAGGATACCAGCAGCGTCCCGCCTACTACCTCAGGGTTATTTGCTTTGGAGCCCAGAAACCAGAAACCAAAAGAGGATCCTCGGTACATACTTACTCAGCTGAGCTGCCCGTCTGGTCTCCGAACCGAATCTCCACCTATAAGGGAGATCTCGCTGGGGCCTCCAAATGTAGCATCCAGCAAACTCGAGAACAAATATCGGAGACTTTCAGGGTATCAAAGATGTTACTTTATTGGCCAAGTTTAACCTGCGCAGGGGCAAACTCCCAAAGTGTCCAGTGACACAGTGCCCACAAGGAACTGCAAACGAGAGCTGCGCCGAGTGCTTACAACTACGTTCTTATATAGGGGCGGGCAAGCAAGTGCTATACAGAAGCAGACGTGGCAGTTAGCAATTCGCTTACAAAGACCGCGCGTGGGAATTTCAAACCAAGCATTCTTGCATAAGGTGGGAAGGCAGGCTGTTTGTTCATTAACCTAGTAATCTCCTGGCTCTAGCTAGCTAGGTTCCTATTTTCTGATTAAAACTACAAAGCATTGCTTATCTAGCCTACCCAGGGGAGAACATCTGCTAGACACAGGATGTTTGCTTAACTGTACTCTGGCTCTTTTATCATTTCTTTTTAGCTACAATGTGGTTCTTGTCTATTAAGGTTAAATTTAGTTCTTAATTTCCTTGTTCCCAACAGAGAAAAGGGTCTTAGGGTCTTAGCCATGGGATTTGAAAAGATGCAGAAGGACCTCCACTGGGCCACCATGAATGTGCAGTTTTGGATTAAGAGCAGGAGCCTGGCCCAGTATGGACAACTGGGAGAAGCCAGGAATGCTGAAATGAAACCAGGAGAATGCTGAGCTGAGGACTTCTGTTTCTTTTCCTGAGAGACAGTACCTCTGATTGGCCTGATTTGGCAAGGGGAGACAAGACTGTGTGATTACAGGTGGATTTTTTTGTTTGTTTCTAAAGGGAATGGGATTTAACACAGAATTCCATTATTCTAAACCTGTATAACTTCCGAATAAATAGTTCCTTTCCTTTTCGTAAGACTCTGGCATTGGGGGTCATGGTTCTTATTGGTGGCAGGCAATAGAACCCAGAGCAATAGAATCCCATGGTTCTGTTACAATAATATGTATCTAATGTGGTCCAGTACAGAGGAGTCATTTCTGAATATCATCAGGTGTGCTGGAGAGAATTATGACTTTGGTAATTCCAGAAATTAAATAAACCTTGGATAAATTAGGGCCAGTGAGAAATACAGTAATAAATGTTTAGACTCCATATGTCAGGTCTTAATATTTCCTCTCAAATAGAACAAGCAGAATTATTATCTTAACATGTAATTTAGATTGTTTAAACCCTGTTTTTGGAATCTTCTAGTGACTTCCTATTGACTGTGACAAATCCTTAAAATGGCATTCAAGGCCTCTCTAGCTTCATTTTGCTCTACTTCTCACTATGTTCTAGATACACTCATCTTTTTCAGTTCTGTACATAGATCAAGCTCTTTTCAATAGGACTTTTGCCTGGAACTGTCTTCCCTGCACTATGAAAAAATTATCATAACATATTTTATCCCCACAGAAGGAATAAAGAATAAAATTATGAATACCAAGTACCCTCCAGACACTTTTAAAAATATTCTAATTTTATACAGATAATCTGGTTTTATTATGCCTGGCCAATTTACTCACATGTTGGCCAATTCTTTATTCCCCCTTATGTTTCATATGTCCTTCTAAGATAATTTTTCTACTTCAAGGAAATCCTGAAGAAATGTATTTAGTGAGATATGTTAGTGGCAAATGCACTTGGTTTTTATTTGGATAACAAGGTATTTTTATTTCATCTTCATCCTTTTTTAAAAAAAGATTTTATTTATTTAGTTTTAGAGAGTGGGGAAGGGAGGATGAAAGATAGGGAGAGAAACATCACTATGTGGCTGCCTCTTGGAAACTCTCTACCAGAGGTAAGAAGACCTGGCTTGCAACCCAGGCATGTGCCCTAACTGGGAATCAAACTGGCAACCCTTTGGTTCTCAGGCCTCTACTCAGTCCACTGAACTACACCAGCCAGGCTCACCTTCTCTCTTGAGTTATTATTTAGTAACATAAAATTCTAAGCTGACAGGACTGCTGGCCAAGATGGAACCATAGGTAGACACACTGTGCCTCCTGTACAACCAAGATAAAGATAACAACAATTTAGAAACAGAGTAACAACCAGAACTGACAGAAAATTGAACTATATGGAAGTTGGACAATCAAGAAGTTAAAATAGACCCATTCATCCAGACCAGTAGGAGGGGCAGAGTTGGGCAGCTGGGCATGGGTTGCGGCGCGGAGATCAGAAAGCATTGGGACTGGGCGTGTAAGGCATCCAGGGTGTGCAAGACCACAGTGGGTGGACCCTAAGTGCTCAAGTGGCAGCTGGCAGACCCCAGCCAAAGGGTGGCAACTGGCAGACCCAGCAAGGCAGCGATTGTGAAGCAAGGCACTGCATGTAACCCAGGATCCAGCGCTGGGAAATAGAGCCTTGGGACACTGATTGAAAACACCTGTGGGGGTTGAGATGCAGGGAGAGGCGCAGGGAGAGACCCCACCGCCACATACAGTGTCACAACCCAGCGACTGGGGTGCCCTGCCCTGGTGAACACCTTAGGCTCTGCCCCTCATACATAACAGGCATAACCAGACCAAAGAGAAAAAAAAGATGGCTCAAACAGAAGTGAAAGTTCCACAACCAGTACTTTTAAGCGACCGAGAGATAGCCAGCCTATCAGATGCACAGTTCAAAGCACTGGTGATCAGGATGTTCACAGAATTGGTTGATTTTGGTCACAAATTAGATGAAAAAATGAAGGCTACAATAAGTGAAATGAAGAAAAGTGTACAGGGAACCAACAGTGATGGAATGAAAGCTGGGTCTCACATCAATGAAGTGGACCAGAAGGAAGAAAAAAACATATAGTTAGAAAAGAATGAAGAAATAAGAATTCAAAAAAAGGAGGAGAGGCCTAGGAACCTCCAGGACTTCTTTAAACGTTCCAACATCCAAATTATAGGGGTACCAGAAGGAGAAGAGGAAGAGCAACAAGTGGAAACCTTATTTGGACAAATAATGAAGGAAAACTCCCCCAATCTGGTGAAGGAAATAGATTTCCAGGAAGTCCAGGAAGCCCAGAGAGTCCCAAAGAAGTTGGACCCAAGGAGGAACACACCAAGGTACATCGTAATAAAATTACCCAATATTAAAGATAGGGAGAGAATCTTAAAAGCAGCAAGAGAAAAGGAGACAGTAACCTACAAAGGAGTTCCCATAAGGTTATCAGCTGATTTCTCAAAAGAAATCTTGCAGGCAAGAAGGGGCTGGAAAGAAGTATTCAAAGTCATGAAAAGCAAGGACATACATTGAAGATTAGTCTATCCAGCAAAGCTATCATTTAGAATGGAAGGGCAGATAAAGTGCTTCCCAAATAAGGTCAAGTTAAAGGAGTTCATCATCACCAAGCCCTTATTATATGAAATGTTAAAGGGACTTATCTAAGGAAAAAAAGGTAAAAAATATGAATGCTGAAATGACAATAAACTCACAGCTATTAACAACCAAACCTAAACAAAAAAACTAACCCCCCCCAAAACTAAGCAAACAACTAGAACAGGAATATAACCACAGAAATGGAGCTCACATGGAGGGTTGTTAGTAGAGAGGGGAAGGGGGGAATGGGTGAAAAATATACATAGAATAAGAAGCATAATAGGTAGACAGGGGGAGATTAAGACTAGTATAGGAAATGGAGAAGCCAAAGAACTTACATGTACAACCATGGACATGAACTGTGTTTGGGGGGGGCAATGCTGGAGGGTGAGGGGGACAGTGCAAGGATGAGAGGGATAAGGGGAGAAAAAAATGGGACAACTGTAATAGCATAATCAATAAAATACACTAAAAAAAGTAAAAAGTAGAAATTGAAAGTTACAAAACCATCACAGGAATGTAAAATACAGTATAGGAAATATAGTCAATAATATTATAATAACTGGATGTGGTGCCAGGTGGGTACTAGACTTATGGGAGGACCACTTCATAAGTTGTATCAATGTCTAGCCACATGAACAGCTGTCAACCTGAAATGAAACTAACATAATATTCAATATTAGTTTCCCAAATAATTGGAATTGAGAAATAAAAATATGTTTTAAAGGATTTACAGTTTCTGTGTGTTGTTTCAGAATTTTTTCCCTAAGCTAAACATTCATTTTATTTACTATCTGCCATAAGCTTTACTACCTTCTCTTCTCTAAAATTCAGCTTTGTTGATGGTATTTGTGTAGGACTGGGAGGAAGTCAGGTGCAATGGAAACATAAGAGCCCAGTAATTTGGATGGACAGGGTCATGAATCTTGATTTACCTTTTATATGTGTGTCCCCATGTATATACCATTGGTGTAGTATCATCTGAGAACATGACACATAGATAGATAGTAGATAAATAGGTAGATATTCCACAATAA